TTCTGGTAGGGAAAAATCATCCAAATAACCTTCAAAATCATGAAATAAATTGTAAAAAAATGCAAATAAGTAAGATAACAAGAAATATAGGAGATTAAAGGTTGAAAGAAGCAAACAATTCGCTAAGAGGAGAGAAGAATTGTGGTCAAGCTTGGATCATATGAACTGGATTGCACTTCTTTTAGTTTTCACCAAAATTTGCAACAATTAACTGTATTGATTATGAATGAATTTAATGCTAATTTTCTACTATGTTAAAGCCTAATGAACTATGAAACTATAAAAAAAATTAAAGCAAAAAAAAGTACAAGAATCATTGAGTTTCGAAAGAAATATTACAACTAAGTTAACTATATATATTCAAAAAAATAATTGAGATTAGTGAAATACCATAAGAATTTGAACTAGAAATCAATAAAATTTGCAAAATTCATTGCCAAAATCATAAAGAACATTGAAAAATACTTCAAAAAAATGTAAAATTGCATTCAATTTCAATAAAAAAACATTGAAATCAAGGGTTGTTTGGCAAGTGAGAAACTAAAAATGCAAAAAAGGAAAATGCAAAAACTAAAGAATGAAAAATTAAAATCCTAATCTACAGTCTTCTAAAATGGCTAACTTTATTTTATTTATAAGTAGGTGAGTGGTGAATTAAGCCCTAAAAAATCTGTCCAAAGTATCAAGAAATGAGAGGTCTTCTAGAAACTTCTTTTTTCCTTCATTTATCCTTTATGCATGGCTAGTTTTAACTTCTCTATTCTTCTTTGGTTGTAAGCTTCCTCTTATGCATTTTTCCACTCCAAAGAGTTCCAATTATAGCCAATGAGAGCTCTCCAAAATGTCATGTTAGTAGCTCTATTTGGCCCTCTTTAAATCACTAAAGAATGACACCAACTTCACATGCGCATAAAGCTTCATTCATGCTACAAGCTTTACTTCCTTAGGAACCTATTTTTGCTTCATTCTTCTTTATTTGGCTGCCAAGAATTTAAGTTATTTAATAAACAAATTTATCATTAAAATCATTAAAAAAATTCTAGAAATAAGCACAAAAAATTGTAGAATTAAGAATAAAGAAAACTCCTTCAAGAAGTAATATAACTTAATGACGCTAATTTAGGTTATTTTCATAATTTACACTAAAAATCCTCCAAAATGTATCCATATTGACCCAGATTCTTCATTTTCTCTATTTTTACCTACACATGAGAAAAAAATACATATAAAAGTATTTTTGGTACAATTTGCAAAGAATAAGCCAAACTATAAGCAAAATTGACCAAAAAATAAGCATGAAAATACTAAAATTTTAATGCAATTAGAAGGCAATTGACAAATATCAGTAGCTAGATATTTCTATTTTAAGTTCTTCCGATCCCTTAGAGAAGATTCTTTCACCTTGTTCGTATGCATTACTGTTAGAGGTTGGACACTTTTATGGTTGCTAGTTTGCAACAATTGAGCTTGTGATTCTTAAAGTGTTTTTGACACCATTACAAGCAAAATAAAAAAAAATTACCTTTATCGATAGCTTATGTATATTTGTGTGATCTTATTAATGTCATTCAAGGCTTAGAAGATTGAAAGATTTTCAATTCTACTACTTTATACTTTGTTCTTTGATGTTCAATTCCTAACAGTGGTATTAAAGCCTCGTTAATTAAGATTACACAAACTAGAACTTGTTTGATTGTTCTTGATATCAAAAATTATTTTGATTACAATATTATGATAAGAAGGCTAAAAAAAAGAGTTTTATTTTTTTTTATTTTGCTTTGCTTTGATTCCTTTAAAATATCAAAATATAATATTTTAAGATGACGGTATTAAATTGCATGATTTATAGACATGGTTTACTCACTAAGATTGAATTTACTTCATGATCAATAAATTGTTTTGGGTTTTGGCAGCCTATTGTGTGTATGGAAAAAATTTTGGTTCTCTCTCTAATTATTTTTTATTGATATGAAATTTTAACTCATGATTCTAGAAATAATAAAAGAAGAAGATAAACAAAAGAAGAATTTATAATAAAGAAGAATTTAGAAAAGGAAAAAAAAATAAAAACTTAGAGAGAGAAATTTTATTTTTCATTTACATAAGTGAATAGATAAGCAATACACCTTTACTTTTTTTTGTGCTCATTCCCCTTTGATGGTTACTTCACTAAAATCTCGAAAATGCCAACATCTATTTCTTTATACTCTTATGCTAAAATCAATAGCTATTAAAAAAAGCCTTTATATAAATAGACCTGACATGAAAAACCAAGCAAGGTCCAAATATAAAACAAAAATAAAGAAATTGAACTAATATATAAGCCCAAATTATTGTTTAAAGAAATAGACATGTATCACTACCTCTTTCATAAAAAAGATCCTTGTCCTCAAGGATCAAATGCAAAAACTTGTTCTTCAATTCCAATAGAACCTTTCCTATACTACCTTATAATACCACCATTTTGTTAGTGTTATCAGCAAACTTGTCAGTAATAATGACATTAGTGGAGGAAGAGAATGAAGGAAAGTATTAGTCGGTTTAAATCGACAAAATTGAACTAAATCACTCATTTTAACTAAATTGATTTGCATTTTATGTTTAAAAGATTAAATCAATTTTGCTCTCAGTTTATTCAATTTTAGCGGTTGGTTTTCGATGTTGAATTTTTAAACTCAAATCGACCAAAAAATTGAAATAAAAATAATTAAATATTTAAAATTGATAATTACCCAATTAACTTTTAGCCATCCCCTTTTATCTTTTATAATTTCTTTTTTACCAAATGCCTAAAATCTAAATACCTAATATCTTAAACACATCTCAATGTCACTTGTCATGCTCAGTGTTTCACTCGATCTCCTCTCTGTTTAGTTCTCATAAATGCCATCGGTCGATCTAGTCCTTTCACCACAAAGCAACCATAAATACTGCACACCTTCGTTTTTTTTCCAAATCAATACTTTCTTATCTTGGGTCTCAACTTGTCTCCTCCAACTTTCAAAAATCTCACTCTAAAGTAATGATTTTCACTCCTATCATTATATTTTCTTTTCGAATATGTATATTTTCCTTGTGATTGTGTTTCTTTTCTCATCAACTAATTTTAAGAATCTTGGATTGGGAAATGAAATAATTGGCAAAGGTTTCTTTTTAATTGTATTTTCACTGTTGTATGTTGTTTAGTATTTGTTTTCTTTGAAAGTTATTAAGTTTGAGACTACATTGAATTGTGGTTTTTTTCTTTTAATTTTGTACCTTCAATATTCAAATTTGCTAAAAGTGTTGTTAAAGCAGACAAATTTATGATCTGCCAGCTTGGTTTGGTTTGATTTAGTTTGGCTTGTGTTCTTGTCTTTTATGATTTCTAGCAATTTCTAAAGTCAATTAGTTCTGCTTGTGCACATAGGTAATGCTGCCACTATACTTTGTAGCTTACAATCTAGAACGCCATGAAGAAAACAAACATATCCCAACCATTCAATTACCCTTTGAAATTGACAAAATTGAAAAAATTGACCAACTTAAGTTGAATAGAGCTATATTGAATCGATTGAAAAAACCATTAAATTAACCAAATCAACCATTTGTTCAGCATTAGATTGAATCAAGTTTAGTTGAATGGAACTATAAGTGAATGTTCATGATATTTGTGTAATTTATGGATAAATTCATGGATATCATGGATTTATATTGAAATGAATTGAATATTGAATTATGATACTATATAGTTGTATTAAGATTTATATAGATGATTTTTATAGGGTTGATAATTAACAATTTTGATTAAAATATAAAAGAATTACTCTTTTGAATGAATGATTGATTTTCATCTAACTCGGATTGATCTTCATTCAATAAGGGTTGATCTTCATTCAATCAGGATCGATCCTTATTCAAATGGGATTAATTGTTAAACACATAATATAACACATCTAATGATAAAAATTTTCGTCGGTAATGGTTTTCAGCAATGAAATTTCATAAAAATTTTTTAAAAAATAAAATAAAATTAGAAGTAGCGACATTTCATCACTTATTTTAAAACGATAAAATCTTAAATTTAATTTGAAAAAATTTAAAAGTAAAATAGCTTTTAACAACAATTTTTTGCATTAAAAATGTAAAATTCTATCACTAAAAATCTGATTATTATCGATAGAAAATCTCATTACCAAAGGAAGACTTTTAGAAACTTCAAAATTTCAACTAATTTTTAGCAATGAAAATTTTGTTAGCAATTAATATTACTGGTGGAATTCGAAGCATTAGCGAAGGAAACTTTTGTTGCTAATGCCCTTATTTTTTTGTAGTGTAAACTTGGCAAGCTTTAATAAAGACGACAAAGATTAAAGATGAATGTTTATTTGGCTCCCAAGTCGCAGTTTTACCGCGCATGTAATGCCAAACATGGAATGATTTGGCCAAAAAAGTCCTTTTGACGACCATTTTCAAGTCAATAGTAAAAGCACCAGAGAGTTCTTTTGTCGTTTGCAAACTATGATTTGAATGGAAAATGACCAAATACCCTTTTCTTTTGAATTTATGAAAAATTATCCCTTAGTTAAAATTTTTTCCTTTTTTTTGAATAAATTCAATTTTTATTTTCTTATTTTTAAATATATCATTCACATCTTTTGATATATTTGTACATTTCAAACTTAAAATAAAAATATATAAAGAATATAATTATTTTTTCTAGCGTGAAGTAATTTAATTTAAAAAATTTTATTTTTTATAAAAATTTAAAATTAAATCAGTTATTTTTTATGCATCTATAACTACTAATGAAACTAGTCTCTAAAATAAGACTAGTCATCAAGATTTTCAATTTTTGTTTCAAGTGTTGCATGACAATTGAACGCTCATTTTTTTTTTTTTTTTTTTTTTTTAAGAATGGGAGCAAAATATGCCCTTTTACAAGTTTGTGAAAAAAAAGGAATAAAAATAAGAGAAGAACCTAGAAACAAAAAAGAGAGTAGCTGTGACGGAAAAAAAATAGAGGAGAATTTATAAAAGTTGACCCGAAAAATTGTTAAAGAAGAATAGGGGGGGAGAAGAAACGGAAGAAAAATAAAAGAAGGAAGAAATTTGAACAGAAAAAGGAATAAGGTTTTTGGAGGGGAAACAAAGGTAAGAAGAGAGATGATCCGGCTAAACAAGATTTTGGGCTGATTATTAAGAGATTAGAAAGAAGAGAAGAAAGAGGTACGTCATTGGAATTAGATCGGAGCCAAAGTCATAGTTGTATTATATTTTCTTTTAACAAATTTTAAAAGTTTTTTTATAGAGTTTTCATTTTTAGTTGTTTTTTAGAGATTAAAAAAAGGTGAAGAAGGATCCGATTGTAATCCTCCCTTGATTTGAAGAATCTATTTTTAAAAAATGGTCATTTAATTGCAACCGAATCGAGAGGAAGCAATTACAAAAAAAAAAAAAAAAAAAACACAGTTGCGATCTCAGATAGAGTGCTCACTGTCTCAGTTGCATAAGATTAGTACCTTTTCCTCCTTTTAAACCTTCATTCTTTTGTTTTAATCAGAAAAAGATCGTATTATCACCTTTGGATAACAAATTGTTTGTTAGTTTTTCCTTTGATTCAATAAAGTAAAACTAAACTAGATAACAGGCCTATTGCTTGTTACGTTTTCTTAGATTGAATCAACTGAAACTAGATAAGACAATTATGTTATTATGTTATGTTAGAAGGCTTATATTAAATTAAATTTGTATATTGTTTTTAGGCAAGTACAGTAATATGCTATTTGGCAGGAATTCATAGCTAGTTGCTTCCGAATTGGGCCTTAGTTAAGGAGCGCATTGGGCACATAGTGCAAATTAAAGCCGACACTAGCAGGGGCCAGGGCAGCGCAGGCCCACGTCGAAGCTGACTTGTAATATAAAACGCTCCAGTAGGATTACGTTTCGTCCGCTCTTTTACTTGCTACCCTCCCCCATCTGCTGAAGTTGAATCTCTACTTCAGTGATGGCGGCAGCTACTTCCTTCTCTTCTATCTCCACTCCCTCTCCTAATTCTTCCTCCAAAATCCACAAAGCCTTAACTCCTCAGGTTTCTCTCGATTTCGACACTTCCGTCTTCAAGAAGGAGAAAATCTCCCTTGCTGGTAACGACGAGGTGAGTTTTTTGTTTTTTCGTTTTTCATTTCTTATCATTTCGACAGCTTATTGGTTTGGTTTGTGTGTTTTAAAATATTCAGTACATTGTGAGAGGAGGAAGGGATTTGTTCAAGTTGCTGCCTGACGCTTTCAAAGGGATTAAGCAGATTGGTGTTATTGGTTGGGGCTCGCAGGTGATTTTTCTTCGAACTCACCAGAACAAAAAAAAAAAAAATTTTTTTTCTTGTTTCGTTTTATTTATATTTTTGTATCTCAAATCCTTATGATATTCACTCAGTTGGTTTTGTTATTTTTATTTTGTAATATATCTAATCTAATTTGCTTGCGACTAAGGACAATACATTAGAATAAGATAAAGAATACTTTCCACCTTCACAAAGTAGGAAATTCTTTTGTCAATGAATTTTGCTTCTTATAATTAGTTGTATATGTTAAGTTGGCTGACTGATTATTCTAAAATGGCCCAATTATTATATTTAAGTTCTAACACGTCCCTTACGATGCAAGTCGAATCTGGATGAATGATTAATATGCTTGAATGTCAGCCAAGTGTATAAAGAAATTGCAAGCATGAAAAGATTAAAAAAGCATTGCACAGCTCATTGGGCAACAAGACACTGGGTGAATAAATATTAAAAGAGTTGCACTTTTTAGGATTCAAACGCGGGAGCTCTTATACTATGTTAAATTGGGTACTCGATTATCCAAAAGATTAAGCTTTTGGGAAATGGCTTAACTACTATATTTAAGTTCTAAAAGTATATAAATATATGAAAGAAAAAAAACCTATTATCTTTATCCACAGAAACCTATTATTACAATTTTGCTGCTCTTGCTGGTTAGACAACATTCAACAACCATTGATGATGCCATTTCATTGAATATCTTCTGCCTAATGGAGAATGTATGTTATTCTTTCTTTTTTTTTTTAATTATGTATAGATCAAATACAGTGAAAACCTTGTTGTATCCTAGTTACACTCTATTCTTGGACTGAGTAAAGTGTGTGTTTCAAATCCTCACATGTTTACTAACTCCTAACAATCTTCTTTTAGGGACCAGCTCAAGCTCAAAATTTGAGGGATTCTCTTGCTGAAGCAAAATCTGATATTGTTGTCAAGGTAGTCTCTCTAGTTTATTTTCATAGTTATTCTTAGCTGATTAATACACTGTTTATGTGCTGTGGGCTTGTGTTGTTGCGATCGAGTTATTTTTTTCTCTTTAATTTGTTTCTCTTTTTCGAACTCTCAGATAATCCCAGAAGAATCAGGTGGTATAATTTTCTTTGTTAATATAGTTTTCTTATTGAGTTTATTAACTCTAATAAAAATATTTTAGCTGATTTTCTTAGCAAGCCAAATGGATCGAGACAAAACACCTCAAGAAAATCTTGGAGAATTAAAAACTATAAAGAAGAAGCAATCTAAAAAGGTTCTTCTTCCTTTTCTTCTTCAATTCGATCTTCTCCACGCTCTCCTGCTTTCTTTGCAAATCCTAATCCAGGATTTGGTTTTTTCAATGATGGATTATTTTTCTATCAACCCCAAAATTTCAGACCACCATATATGCCATCTCCTTTAAGAATTCAACTAGAATTCTCTTTGCTCAAGACCCAAACGAATGGACTTCTCAGAGTTACTCTTAAATAGTTTCATTAGCAGAAAACTACTACAAGAAACTAAACTCATAAAATTTAGATATTAAATATTTTTATAATCTTGGACTTGAATCACAAGTCTATGGTTTGTTAAACTTAATTTGAAAATCCCATCTTTCTCAAAACAAAATCCATTTTCATAAAGGGATGACCAAACTAGCCGAATATCTAGCTAAACAAACTAAAGATATTCAAGAATTTAGAGAAGCAGCTCTCCAAAGCCTTCTGTCAACTAACTTACTAAAACAGCAAGATGTCGATCTCTTCATTTTGGAAGAAAATGCATATACAGTTTAAAAAATAAATAATTTCTTGAAACTCTGTGAATATTTTGAAAATGTTGATAATCCTCAACTAATCAAGCTTAAGAGGATTCTCCTTTTTGAAAAAGTCACTCAATTCTAACCAAGGAATTATTTCAGCAAATAAATTTTTCTATTCAACAGACTATAGAAAAACTGTTAGTCGAAAAATATTCTTAATACTATTATTCTTTATATATTCATACTACTATTACAGGAGATCTAATTCCAAAAATCAAATTTTATTTCAATCATAAACCTGTTGATGTAACCAGCATTGAATTTGGTTTTGTTGGTTAAATTCTTATACAAAATTTCTCTTTTGATTTGATCAAAGATTTTTCTATCTTAAACACCATATCTACCAAACTATAAAAACAGTAATAATTTTTACTATATTCATTTTACCATAACCAGCCTTATTGGAATCTTTCAAAGAGAAAGATTTTTCCAACCTGAAAAATTCAAAAATGTCTTTTAGGACCTCTCTTAAATCCAGCTACAGATGGTTTAGAAAACCCAAAAAATTTAAATAAGATTGTTATCAAATTCTCCAATCCTGCACAATATCAATTCCAAATAAGAATAGAAATGATGGAGAAATCTCAATATCTATTTAATTTAGCAATCGGAGCAAGTTTTTCCAAAGCTACAGTCTGGACAGATGGAAGATAAATAATTGCTCATGCTTATTATGGATCATATGAAATGCCAATCCGAGATAGTGATCCAAAAGCATTAGAACTTCTTCAAAAATTATCTCAGATGGAAGATATAGATCATCCACAAGAACTATTCTTCTAATACCAAGAAGGATAGAAGATGTCGAATCAATCTAGATCTAATTCTCTTCACTCTCACCAAACCCTAGATGAAGGAGTAGAATTACAAAACTTGGATAATGTTGTGAAAGGATAAACAATCCCAACAAACTGTATTCCAAGTAGGAACTAGCCAAAGAATAAGTTGATCCAAGTTGCCGACACAAAAAAACAAAGCTGTTCAGAGCCAAAAGATCAGTCGTACTGTAGTAGTTATTGTTTTCAACAAAAAATCTTATAGCAGTCATTGTAGCAGAAAGTCATTCTAGAAGACAGAGACATGCCATCGAAAACACTATAGCAAGTCATTGTAGTAGTTACTGTAGATAAAACTCTTCTGTACACTGTAACGGCAACTGTACATAGTTATTATTTTTAATCTGTTTATAAATAGATTGTAGAAGATTGGGGAGAATAGGCTCTTTGGTCATTCTTTTTCGACTCCTTTTTTTAAACTTCTTGACCATCCTCTTCTACTAAAACTAAATATTGTAATTTTTCTTCAATTTTTTTGTCTTCTTAATCCTTTATGTATAGATCCTTTCCGCACCCTTGTAAATGGTATTAGGATTATAAACCTTATAGTCTACATGTACTGCTAGACACTGGAGCAACAATCTCAAGTTGTCAAAATAATGCTTTACCCATAAACAAATGGCAACCAATGAAGCATCCTATCATCATAGTAGGTATTGATGGTAAGGAAATTATTGTTGCTTATAAAGCAAAAAATATTCCTATTTATTTTAATAATATTAGATTCATAATACCAAAAATATTATGTTTCCCTAATATGCATGGAGATATATTATTAGGAAATAATTTTTTACGTACTTATATTCCATTCTCTATATCCAATACTTATGTTACCCTTACAATTGACAAAAAATCAGTTGAAATTCCTTTATTACAGGAACATGAGCATATTTGTGATAAAAACTTTCAACCAAAAAGATTAACAAATGTTATCAAAACAATCAATGAAAAACATTGGCTTTATAAGATTTTGTAGAAAAACTTTAGTGAACAACCATTGAAGCTTTGGCAAAAAAGTTCAAGATATTGTGAGCTCAGTCTTCACAATCCAAAAGAGATCGTAAAAGTAAAGCCCATGATCTATATCAAATAGGATATAGATGAATTCAAGATTCAGATTTCAGAACTACTAGGCAAAGGCCTGATAGAACCAAATACTAGTCCACATTCTAGCCCAGTATTCATGGTAAGAAACCATTCAGAAATTAAACGAGATAAACCCCTTATGGTTATCAATTATAAGAAATTAAATCAAAATCTTGTATTTGATGGCTATTTTATTCCTCGTAAAGATGTATTGATAAATTTAGTGAAAAATGCTACATATTTTTTTAAATTTGATTGTAAGTTTGGTATTTGGCAAATCATGCTCAAACCCGAATCTAAATTATTAACTGCTTTTAGTGCACCAACAGGCCATTACCAATGGATTGTTATGCCTTTTGGTCTATGCAATGCATCACAAATATTTCAGTGTTAGATGGATTGAATTCCTCCAATTATAGCATTAATAGGGTTTTTGAAATGATTATTCATTAAAACAGCAATAATAGGTATATCTTTGCAAGCAAGAAACAGTGATTTAATGGTAATCATTATCATACCAATATGTATATATTTAACTTTAGGGTATTTTTTCAGAAAATGGTTTATTTTCTGTTTTGTAAAAAGAGATATTTCCACTGATCCTTGTTTAGAATCATTGACAATCGTATCACCAGATAGTTTTTCTATATGGTGTTTGTACTAAGGTTGGAATTTTTTGAACCAACTTGTGCTATAAATCTCATTTGGTTTGATGAGTGGTAATTCTTTAATTTTTTTCTTCAAAAATATGATGAGTTTTTTTTCTCATCACATTTTTTAGTTTAACCATACCTCCTGTTACTGTAGTTGTTGTACCTGTAAAAAAAGTAATTGAAACATTATCTTCGTTAGATTCTGTATTCATCATAAAAATACATTTAGATTCATCATCAGAAGAACTATAATCAGTTTTTAAAAAACTTCATAAAATATTTCATCAGATAAATCATTAACAAATAAAATTTGAAGATGACATTCTTCAAGTTTTTAAATCATTTTTCTAGCACTTTTTCCTTTGTTAGGGCAGCTATTTGCATAGTGACTTTCTTGATCATAAATAAAACATTTGCAAGTTTGTTTAGAAGATTTTTTTTTTTTTAACAACAAATTTGCCTTTTTTAGGTGTTTGAGATTTACTAGATTTTTCTGATTTCCATTTTTTCCAAAGATATTTTTGTTTTTTCTTAAAATGAGTTTTTCTATGATATCATTTACAAGGGTGCGGAAATGATTTACATATAAAGGATTAAGAAGACAAGAAAATTGAAGAAAAAGTACAATATTTAGTTTTAGTATTGGAGGATAGTGAAGAAGTTTAAGAAAATGAGTTGAGAAAAAGAGTGACTAAAAAGCCTCCTTTCTCCAATCTCTTACAATCTATTTATGAACAGATTAAAAATAATAATTATGTACAGTTATTGTTATAATGTACAGTAGAATTTTTATCTACAGTAATTGCTACAGTGACTTGTTACAGTGTTTTAGGTGGCATGTTTTTGTCTCCTAGAATGACTTTTTGCTATAGTGATTGCTATAGGATTTTTTGTCGAGAATAGTAACTGCTACAGTACGATTGGTCTTTTGGCTCCGAACAGTTTTGTCTTTTTGTGTCGGTAGCTTGGATCAGCTTGTTCTTTGGCTAGTTCCTGCTTGGAATACAGTTTGTCGGGATTGTTTATCCTTCCACAGCATTATTCAAGTTTTGTAATTCTACTCTTTCTTCATCCAGGGTTTGGTAAGAGTAAGGAGAATTAGATCTAGATTGGTTATACATTTTTCATCATTTTTGGTATTGGAAGAGTAGTTCTTGTGAATGATCTATATCTTTCATCTTAGATAGTTTTTGAAGAAGTTTCAGTGCTTTTTGATCGTTATCTCGGATTGGCATTTCATATGGTCCATACTAAGCATGAGCAATTGTTCCTCTTCCATCTGTCCAGATTGTAGCTTTGAGAAAACTTACTCTGATGGCTAAATTAAATAGATATTGAGATTTTTTCATTATTTCTATTCTGTTTGGAATTGGTATTGTGTAGGATTGAAAAATTTGGTAACAATCTTGTTTAAATTTTTTGGGTTTTGTAAACCATCTGTAACTAGATTTAAGAGAGGTCCTGAAAGGCATTTTTGAATTTTTTAGATTTGGTAGGGTTGGAAAAATCTTTCTCTTTGAAAGGTTCCAATAAGGTTGGTTATGGTAAAATGAATATAGTAAAAATGATTACTGTTTTTACAGTTTGGTAGATATGGTGTTTAACAAAGGTAGGGAAATCTTTGATCAAATCAAAAGAGAAATTTTGTACAAGGATTTGACCAACAAAATCAAATTCAATGCTGGTTACATCAAAAGGTTAATGATTGAGATGAAATTTGATTTTTGGAATTTGGTCTCCTATAGTAGTAGTATGAATATATAAAGAATAATAGTATTAAGAAAATTTTTCGACTAACAGTTTTTCTGTAGTTTGTTAAATAGAAAAATTTATTTACTGAAATAATTCCTTGGTTAGGAATTGAGCAGCTTTTTCAAAAAGGAAAATCCTTTTAAGCTTGGTTAGTTGAGAATTATCAATGTTTTCAAAATATTCACAGAGTTTCAAAGCGAAGAGATCAACATTTTGCTATTTTAGCAAGTTAGTTGATAAAAGCCTTTGGAGAATGGCTTCTCTAAATTCTTGAATATCTTTAGACTTGTGGTTCAAGTCCAAGATTATAAAAATATTTAATCTTTGGATTAGAGAGTTTGGTTTCTTGTAATAGTTTTTTTATTGATGAAACTATTTGAGAGTAACTTAGAGGAGTCTATTCGTTTGGGTCTTGGGTAAATTGAGAGAATTCTGGTTGAATTCTTAAAGGAGATGGCATATATGGTGGTATGAAATTTTGGGGTTGATAGAAAAATAATCCTTGGTTAGGATCATTGAAAAAACCAAATCCTAGGTTAGGATTTGCAAAGAAAGCAGGAGAGCATGGAAAAGATAGGGTTGAAGAAGAAGAGGAAGCAGAACTTTTTTTAGATTGCTTTTTTTTTATAGTTCTCCATTCTCCAAGATTTTCTTGGGGTGTTTTATCTCGATCCATTTGGCTTGCTAAGAAAATGAGCTAAAATGGTTTTATCAAAGTTAATAAACTAAATAAGAAAACTATATTGACAAAGAAAATTATACCACCTGATTCTTCTGGGATTATCTGAGAGTTTTTTGTTTTTTAGGAAATCTCGGACAGCTTGGTTATCTGTTCTTATAACAAAAGTATCAAGGGTCAGATAAATATGAAATTGTTGTACACCATTTTTTATGGCTAACAGTTCTTTTTCATAAATAATATAATTTAATTCGTTTGATTTAAACTTTCTTAAATTATAAGCACAAATCAATTCATCCTTTTGATGAAGATTTTTTGCTTTAAGGACACATCCCCAATGTTCTTCATTGGCATCTGTGTCTAATATTAATAAATCTCCCTATTTAGGTAGATAGACTTTAGGAATATGAGTTAGCTCTGATTTGATTTGTTTAATAATATCAGAGTTTGTTGGTGTCCAAACAAAACCATTGTTTTTGCATAATTTTTTTAAAAGAAGACTTTTTTTTTTGGAAAGATTTTTGAAAAATTGTCTGCTATAATTAACAATAGCTAAAAATTGTTGAAGCTGCTTGATATTATCCAGTTCTTCTAGAAAGTCCTTGATCTTGGAGATAATATGATCCTTCAATGTTAATCCATTAGTAGATAAATTAAGACCAAGAAATTCAATTTTTGTTTAAATTACAGATTGGACTCAGGAAGGGTTCCCGTTCCTTTGCTGAAGCTCGTGGTGCTAGCTTCTCTGAAGAGAATGGCACTTTGGGTGATATATGGGAAACTATTTCTGGAAGTGATCTTGTGTTGCTGTTGATTTCTGATGCAGCACAGGTTTGTTGAATGTATTTATTGTGTTCTTTTTGCTAAACTGCTAATGAAAAGAACTAGTCATCATAAGTTTTACTACGTGTTTTTCTTGTACAAAGAATCAAATTCTATATGATTTTGCAGGCAGACAATTATGAGAAGATATTCTCCCACATGAAACCAAATAGCATCCTTGGACTTTCGCATGGCTTTCTTCTTGGACACTTGCAGTCAATGGGACTTGATTTCCCAAAGAGTATTAGTGTAATTGCCGTGTGTCCCAAAGGAATGGGTCCTTCTGTAAGGAGACTTTATGTTCAAGGCAAAGAGATCAATGGTGCTGGAATCAATTCCAGTTTTGGGGTTCATCAGGTATGTTTTTGTTGTTGTGCATCTTTCTATTTTTGATATCCCTTACCTTACCTTTCTTTGTTTACTGTTAAGCCACTGAGTAATTTCTTTGTGCACAGGATGTTGATGGTAGAGCTACTGATGTTGCCTTGGGGTGGTCAGTTGCCCTTGGATCTCCTTTCACATTTGCTACTACTTTAGAGCAGGAGTACAAGAGTGACATCTTTGGGGAGCGGGGTAAGTAGTTTTTCATTCCCTTCTTCTGCAATAAACTTTTTATGCTTTTTCTTTCTTTCTTTTTCTCCCCCTTAACTCACTGTGCTTGATGAGTCTTTTATGTGGTTTCTAGGCGTTCTACTTGGTGCTGTTCATGGAATTGTGGAGTCTTTATTTAGAAGATACACAGAAAATGGAATGAGTGAGGATTTTGCTTATGAAAACACTGTTGAATGCATTACAGGAATTATATCAAAGACCATCTCAACACAGGTTGCCCATTGGGTCCATTTTCTCAAACCCATTCTATTTTCTTATCTTCATCTATTTCTTTTCTCTTTTGCTTTACGCCTGTTGATGCACTCACACCCATTTTTGTGAAAGTATTTGTATTTATTTACTTTATTCTATTTTTTCCTTTAAAGGGCATGTTGGCTGTGTACAATTCCTTGTCTGAAGAGGGAAAAAGGGAATTTGAGACCGCATATAGTGCATCTTACTACCCATGCATGGATATACTGTATGAGTGCTATGAAGATGTAGCCAGTGGAAGTGAACTCCGCAGTGTTGTCTTGGCTGGGCAACGCTTTCATGTAAGTATTTTCTGTCATCTGCTGTCAATACTTCAACTTGTAATGAATATGGGTTTCTCGTAATTTAGACTTTAATATGCTCATAATTATCCATCTATAGTTTATGGATTTCCTTGCACCTTAGACTAGTAAGATACATTGTGTTTTGGATTGTTTTACAGGAGAAAGATGGTCTCCCAGCTTTCCCAATGGGGAAAATTGATCAAACACGCATGTGGAAAGTTGGTGAGCGGGTCCGAAAGGTACGACCAGCTGGTGATTTAGGGCCAGTATATCCATTTACAGCTGGTGTCTATGTGGCCTTGATGATGGCTCAGGTATGATGCTTACCTTTGATACGGACAAAGGTTTTCCATTAAGTATTGTGGTTCTTATATTGAAATTTTTAATACCTTTCTTGGCCTTTAGGCTAAAATCAAGTCTACTGTACTAATCAGTTTAACATCTATTCAACTAATAACCTATGAACCTACAGGTCTTGCATGAGTTCTGTTTATAGGTTGATATTAAAAAAGAAATTTGAAATAAAATGTCTATTTCTGAAAAGTATTTAAGTACTCAAAACAACATCGTGATTATTTGTAATAATGCAATAATGGTAGTAATAAATGTTTTTCTTCAGTTATGCTAAAGCAACTACACTGAGCTAGATTGTCAAAAATAGAACAAACAAAATAATACCATGCGTGCCTTTAAAATAGTGACAGGTTGAGAAAATAGTTTTGACTTGGTGCTAGTTTGATGATCCTTTTATACTGGTTTGAATAATTGCAGATTGAGATCTTGAGGAAGAAAGGGCATTCGTACTCTGAGATCATCAATGAGACCGTGATAGAGGCAGTAGATTCTTTAAATCCATTTATGCATGCTCGGGGAGTTTCCTTTATGGTAGACAATTGCTCTACAACAGCACGATTGGGATCAAGGAAATGGGCCCCTCGGTTTGATTACATCCTTACCCAACAGGCTTTGGTGGCAGTGGATAAGGGCACTCCCATCAAGCAAGATCTGATCAGCAACTTCCTGTCTGACCCGGTGCATGGTGCCATTGAAGTCTGTGCTCAATTGAGGCCCACGGTTGACATTTCAGTGCCCCCAGATGCTGATTTTGTGCGACCAGAGTTGCGTCAATCTGGTAATTGAGCCCTATCTAGAATCTTTTGAACTTGGGAGGGCAACTATATACATAGACTGTTTGAGGCAAAACTTGCTTCCATACATGAGTGATGTAGTTTTACCTATGATGTGTTGGCCTAGTCTTTATGTTTTATGTAATTGTAGGACCAAAACCATCCGCAAATGAGGCATAATGTTGTGTTTTCTTGCTGGTTTTTAGGTATTGAGCGTGTGTGATCCATCTACTTCCTCAATTCCCCTCCCTTCTAAGTTTTTTTTACTTAAAAGCATGTTACCTTCTCATTTTATTTCTTTATAATAATGAATAGTAGTGCATGAATTTAGATCATGGAATGGTCATTCAATGGAAAAAAAATGTTTAATAAAACAAATAAAAGATAAATAATTATTATTACATTTTATTAAAGGATAAAATTGTATATTTCTTTTTATTCCTTATTCTAATTATGATTTATTAACAAAACATTTTTTTACTTCACGAGAAATGATAGTATGAAATGAATATTCTACATTTGGAAGTATATTATTTATAATTATTGTGTTACAATTAGTTAATCATAAATTAAAATTATGTGTAGTTCATCAAAATTGTACATAAAGTCCACACTTATAAATAATGTTCTTTACATAATTTTTTGAATGTAATTGGATAATTGTAGGATTATAGTAAAAAAATTGTAAGTGAAATGCTTTCTCAAACCAACATACATATTTTTTATTTAAATTACATAATCATATTATTAAAAAAAGATAATTATTTTATTGCACACTATATATATATATATATATGAATCTATTTGAATTAAATATTTATTATTTAATTATCACATATAATGTATAATAAGTGATTAATTTTTTAATAATATAATTACGTGATATGATTTGAATTGATTATAAATATATACATATATATTTTTGACAAATTAATCATTTTATACAATCCTTTCTCTACTTTATTCTATCCTACAAACCAGAATTATTTAATTAATTATTTACTAGCTATTTTTGCCTCTTTTGCTTCCATGTTATAATTATTTCATTTCCTTTTTACTTCATTTTGCAAACCAAATGTGAAGTTGGCATATTTTTCATCAAAATTTAAATTTTGTAAAAAAATTGATCTATAATTTAAATATTAAAAAATATTAAAATATTAAAAATATAAATAATTTAAAAGAGAATATAAATTCATCAGACAAGTGCGTTACATGATCATACACCAAATGAATTGAAATATTGTAATGTAATAAATATATTTATTTTCAATTGAAATCATATTCTTCAGTAAGGAGCAAGCAAATCATCTATGTAAATTAGTTCTAATTAGTTGATTAAATAAAAGCGAGTTCAATTAGTAGAATGTGACAGACAAAGTTAGAGCTGAGTTTTAAGGCCTTAGTTGATGGATAGAAAAAATAGAAAAATTAAAAATTAAAAAAGGAAAAAAGTAGAAAGATGATTTTTTTCCTAACATTGATATGTTTGGTTGGAAAGATGGAAAAAAATTTTTAAAAAAATTATTTTCATTCAATATTTAGTAGAGTTAAAAAAAGAAAAAAATATGATTTTATCTCATATAATTTAAGAAAAAAAAATCTAAAAATGATTTTTATTTTCATTCATTATTTAGTAGAGTTAAAAAATGAAAAAAAAAAGAAAATTATATGATTTTATTTTAAAAATCATATAATTTAAGAAAAAATCTAAAAATAATGAACAATCTTGTAAATATGTAATATTTGCTTCTCTTATTTTCTCTCTCTTATTGTTTCTTTTTTCTTTTTTTTTTTTTAATTTGGAATTATTTTTACTTGTAAATTAGAGTGAAAAAGAGTAATCTTTAATATTTTCTTTTCTCACTTATCTTCCCTGTTAAACACATGCAAAATTCATTTTTTTTCCTTTTCACCCTATCAAACACATTCTAAGCGCCAAAACGTTATAAGAAAATGATATGCTTGCTCCAACATGAATTTAACTCAGGCTGATTTGATTAGAAAAATTAGCAGAAAATGATCTAATGTTTTGAACTTAAATTAAATATAATTTTAATTTTTAAATATATTAATTTAATAAAAATAATAAATATGACATAAATTATGAGTATATTAATATCTAATAACTTCAACTATCTTTAAAATTTTTTTATACTTTTATAAACATTTGGATATTATCTTTGTAGTATACTCTTAATTTTGAGTAAAAATTTTTAAAAATAAAGTATTAAAAAATTTTGAAAAATAGTTTTTTCTATTATTATAACTAAATTCAGCTCATACAATTATACACTATAAATAAAAGTTTTTTATTTTTTTCTTATTTTTTACAATATGCATTTATAAATAAAATTTTGTTATGAAATAAAAAATCAAAATTAAAAATATACTTAAAAATGATTAAAAATGTAACTTTGAATAACTCTATTACATATACTAAAATTTTACTTTAATTTATCTAAACAATTATTCGAGATTCAATAACTTAATTACATATGGTCTGGAGCCAGGTTGATCAACAAAACCAATGAAAGCTCCATCCTGCGCACGTCCAGTTCTCCATATATCCCTGTTAGTCTCCTCTTCATTCATCCCGTTTCTCCTCAACCTCCACATCTATGTAATTGATTAGCTTGAGACTAATATCTTCTTTCCAGAACATTGATAGCAAACAGTAGTTCCGTTTACACTGACTCCAAAGCATGAGTTCATCCCACGGTTTCTTTTTATTCTGTCTAACTTATGAACATGTAGTTTAGTTTCTATGAGGAAAACTACAACAGGATCATTTTGTCTTCAGTAAAAGTCGAAGAGCTTGAACTGCTGGTGGGTTCTTAAGCCCACGACAATTCTAGGCCAAACACTTCATTGGAATTTAACGGGGCTGAAAGCCAGTTTTCGTCGGTTTAGATTTTTCACCCAACCTGGTCCTCTTAGTCTGAGTTACCTTTTTCACCCATATGTCGTATAGTACATGATAATCTTCAATGGTCTCCCTATTTCCTAGGTTCGTTGTGGTGTTTACTTCTATGTTTACCTGATAATCTTGCTTGTTTTTTTCCTGTTTCTTTCGTTGTTGCACTCTGATCATACTTCTCTACTGGTAGTATATTACTTATACTCACATTTATAAATGGTAGATTCTTGTGTAAATCTTTATTTTTCTTATTTTGATTGGACAATTATAATATTGTAATAAAAAGAATAGTAAATGATTTGCTTACTGGAATTGAAGAAATATAGTGTTTTCATGACATCTTGGGATTTGGTTTCAAAATTTAAGGAGGTCTTGGATCTTCAGGTCTTGATCTTCAAATTTCTTCTCCGATTTGTTTGTTGGAATTATAGTAGAGACTCTGTTCTTCTGATTTTCCATCTTGAACTTGTGGGAACTTTGGAGATTTTGATTCTTCACATCTTTACCCTCTAAGAATTATCTTCTTGATTTCAAGATCTTCATTCTCCAAGAATTATCTTGTTGATCTTTCAGATCTTCATTCTTGAAGCTGTGGGAGCTCTCTGACCTTCTTTCTCCCCAGAGAATTCTCTTCTAGCCTTCTTCCTCTCCAGAGAATTATCCTCAATGACTATTCAGAAGCTCTCTATTTCTAGTGCCAGATGATGCTGGGTGAGAGAGTTCCAAAAGAATTAAATCTCTTTGATTTTATTTCTAAATAACCCTAATTTAATAGAGATAAAAGCTTATTTACTTTTTCTAACCGGCTATGATTGCAGCCATTCCCCGTACGGTTTCACCCCTCATGCCTCCGTTTCCTTGTCATCCAGCATCTTAGACTCTGGATCCGTGTGCCTGCCCTAATAAACCGCATCCATAGCAGAACACTGATAGTCTTTCATATGCCTCATATTTAGAATTCGAGTATAATGATAAAAGCATTGCTATTTTATAATTTTATTTTTTATTTGTTGCAGTTGATAACAATGATCAACGGAAGACCAAAAGTTAGATAACTTTGAAGAAATTGTTTATACTATTTCCGAATGAGCGTATTGTAGTGTCTACAAACTCTTATAGGAAATCAATTGATGAAAAGGCTCAACTGTTGGCTTGATTTCTAAGCATGCTTGCCCGTAATGAAATGAAATTACCTATTTATTATGAAACATGGCATAAAGTTTCAAAAGAAGTTAAAGTCGATGCTTTAAACTTTATTGAGGTATTAGTATAATTAATTACATATAAAAATATAATTATTTTACATTTTGCTTACTTATTCAAACTTTTCTTATTGTATTATTACAATCAATATTTATATTTGAAATATCAACTTTATTTGCACTTAAGTCATTGGGAAAGAAATGAAAAGATTATAAGCATAATTTGAAGAATAAGTATTTTGATTGAAATATTACTATAGAGGCAATGATGAAAAATCTACCCCATAATATGATTAGGTGGCAATATGAATAATTAGTTAGATTTTGGTTTTCAAGAAAATGAGAGGTACTAATTTATAACTTTGTATAGTATAATGAAATGATGAAAGTGTTTTATGCTTTAAGTTGATAATATTTGTATTTCTATCATATATACAATTATTTTTTTATGACAAGAAAGATAACATATTGGGATTGGTAGCAAAAAGATATAAATATAGCCACACAAGTGGATCAAAAAGTTTTGCAAGAAAGCAAAAAAAATAGTAAGTTTATGATTTTAAACTTATTCCAATCAATGAACTTTTTATTCCATTAAAAGGTAAATATGCAAATTAATAGTTATTGTTCTATTTTAATAGTTTTGATAGTTTCAATACATGATATTAAACTTATCGAAAGTTTTAAACTTAGTTGACACAGATGATATGTATGAAAAAATTATTATTTACGTCTATTTAGGTAAAAATATAAATTTGTTGTTATTGTTATATTTTAACAGTTTGGATAGCTTCATTACTTGATATTAAACTTGTCCAATTGATTGAACTTGGTTTCTACGGTTTATATAGGTGAAAAAGTTATCGTTTATGTCTATTTGGGACTATTTTGGCATATAAAAGGTAAATATACAAATTAAACTTTTGGATGTCTTTCAACAGTTTGAATGGCTTCAATCTTTGATATTAAACTTGTCTAAATAATTGAATTTGGTTTCCATGATCGATATGTGTGAAAACCTAAAATGCTTTTATTGTTTGCATCTTTTAAGTCTATTGTGTTGTTAAGGAGCCAAAATATAAATACATGATATTAAAATTATTCAAAATTTTTTAACT